GCAGCATCAGAGGAGCAGGAAGGCTGATGTTTCGGGTCTGGACCCTGCTTCAGAAATCTGAAGAAAGGTCCAGACCCGAAACGTCAGCTCTCCTGCTCCTCTGATGCTGCTCGGCCTGCTGTGTTCATCCAGCTCTACACCTTGTTATCTCAGATTCTCCAGCATCAGCAGTTCCTAATATCTCTAATTTCTGGAGTGCCTGTTTGACGGTACGCATGGCATGGATGGCGTCATGGGATGGGTTTTGGGAAGTAGCTCCAAAATGGTGGACTCAGTGAACTAGTCACCCCTCATCATTTGATGCTTTCAATGAATGCTTTAACACTTATATGAATCTTTCCTTAAGCCCATTGAGCGAGGGACAATAGGGTGCCAACATGATGGATCAAATGCTAATATTCCATGTAGTCAGTAAACTTCTGCACGAGGAACTGAGGGCCATTGTCACAGACAACCTGCTCAGGGTTACTGAACCTCACAAATGTTTCCTCCAGTTACCCGATGTTCATTTCTGCAGAAGCTGACTACACTACCACCACCTCCGGTCACGTCAGAATGAGGACCAACTACCACCAGCAGCATTTGACCGTCAGAGGAGCCAGTAAAATCAATCTGGACTCGTTGCCATATCATCTTGGGTCATCCCCAGGGGTGTTAATGGTGGTGCATTTTTGACATTGGCACAAGCTGGCTTTTTCTTCGATTTGGACATCCAAAGCCAGTCACCAAAAACAGGTCCTGACAATCCCATGACTGTCTTCATTTTCTTTGGTGCCTTGTGAAGCCCCTTGCTGTCAATGATGGACCCTGAGTATTCAGTCAACTTCTGTAGGAAATCCGACTTTCTTTCACTCATAACCTATGAGCTTGCAGCCATTATAGAGTCTCTTCGAGATTCCTCAAGTGCTGTTCCTCTGTGGACCAGGTGATCAGGATATCATTGAGGTAGCATTGTAACCTTTTTAGTCCACTTAGTATTTGGTCCATAGGCCTCTGGTATGAGGCTTGGGCTAACACGATCCAAAAGTGGGGCCTTAAATAATGAAAAACCCTAATGAATCATGATAATCAGCAGGTATGATCTAGCAGCCACTCTCATCTGCAAGTAGGTATGCAAAAGATCCACCATTGTGTCAGGCTACTAAACAGACCATTGATGAAGGGCAATGGGTATCTATTTGCACGTAGCACTGGATTACCAGTAACTTCAAAGTCACCACAGATTTGGATCTATCTGTCATATTTTAAAATGGGTGCAATTGGGCTTGCCCAGTCACTGGTTGTTCATGGTTCGAAAACACTGGTGTCTACCATCAGTTCTGCCTCTATTATTGGACAAATGACATATGCAACAGCGTGTGCCCTGAAACTTTTGTCTCATTTTGTCCTGAAACTGCCAAGCAGAAAAATTTGGCTGATCCAACTCCATGGCAGTTAGATTTCTATTTACACTTTCTTCCTTAGCTATTCACCCCTATAACAACTTCAGATCACATGGGCATCTTTTATGTGTCATAATCATGAAAAGTATTAACTACTTTTCAGAATACTCTGCACTTAAATCTTAAAAAAATTGCATAGAAGATAATCCAGGTTTTTCCTAGTTCGTGGTTCATCACAATAGATGTGATGGCAGTCTGCCAAGGTCAGTGGAGGATCTAGACCTGTCTGGTCACCATGCCAATTTCTGAGCCTTAATCGGCATGTTTTTGACAGTCAATTCATCTTGTACAACTCTCAAAGCTTTATGCTGAAATTAGGCTTTTAATCATGAGATGGACTACCCTAATTGGCTGTTTCAGAAATGTGATTCCAAGGTGTTACCATTACCGACAGATGCTCTACAGCTTGAAGCAATTAAAAGACCTGACATTTTTTTAACACATTAGTGTAAATTTTCTGGGGGTTCCCTCACTTCATTACTGCAACTTCAGCAGAAGATCAGCATAGCTCACAGAGAAAGGCAAAAAAAGCTTCAAGAAAAGTCTTTCTGTCGCACCATGTCACTGGGTGTTCTACCAAGCACCCACTGCAGGTAAGAAAGGAGTCGAGAGAACCCTGCAAAGGTTTTTTTCACATTTTCTAACGGCTAGAATCAAAGAGATGGACTTTATAGATATGCTGAATTTATTCTATAAATATAAAAAAGGACAGTTGTTCTTCTGAAGCCTCATTTCAAAGGTTTTCCTCATGGGAAAGGATTTTAATCACCACTTGGCACCAATATCAACTAGCAACCTATTCTCAATGTGATGATGCTGTAACTTTAAGAGGTCTGTTTTTGTCTTTGTTTCTTTTAAGAGACAGATTGACCAACAGGTGTCTAGCAGTCTGCAGTAACATAAATAGTTTATGAGGCCTTGGGTTTTTTTTATAAAGTTGGAACAAAAGAAGTAGCCTTGATGGGTGTGGCCAGCTCTCACAGTCCAGGATTTCTTGTTTTTTTTTTAGTTTTTACATTCAGCAGGAAGCTGTAGGAGTCTTGAAGAAGTGGAAGGTATTTTTCACCTCTCTTGGTTACAGCTTGAAGCTGGGGTTTCTCTTCCTACAGTGGGTGTTGCATGTGAGAAAATCTAATTTTTGAATTTGCCTTTTTACCAAGGGGTGTGTTTATGGGATGTTATTATCTTGGAACAGTTAGTAATAAATAGTAAAACAAGCTATCATTCTAAGTTTTCCAAAAGAGTTAAGTTACTCCAAGTTCATCTTTCTTTTGTTGTATTTTAACTGTAGTGTTTGAATAAATCGTGTTTTGCTTAACGTCAAGTAGTTTGACTAATCAAACTACATCTGGGACACAGCACCTCACATTTACCTTTGAAATAAGAAAAATTTAGGGTCGAGCCTTATTTCTCAATATATTTTGACAGGGTCTGGTTTGGTCCATAACACAATACAACCATGGAAGTCACAAAATGCTAGAATTTTATTGGAGGAACAGGCGGCAAATACATTTTAAACCCACTTTTCTTTCTCAAAGTGAGGTACCAGTTGAAAACATATCTGACTAAATTGATAATATATGAAAACCAAAACTATAGAGATGCTTTTGCTGTCGAACTTGGTTTTAAATGTAAAGCTTTATATCTGTGTTATCTTTCTTTACAAGTGAGAGGGCACAGGTTTGAGCAGCCAGGGCCACAGAGATTATCTGAGGTCTCAAGTAACAGCCCTCTGTGAAAAATGATTTAAGAAGTCACATCACATCATCCAATCACATTCAAGATTTGGGAAGGAAAATGACATTTTTTTTAATCAATAGTTTGAAATATATTTTTCTCCAGTGTTTTCATTATTTAGACATATTCTGTCAGTCATTTTTGAGTGGGGCACATTGTCAGAGTTGGTTTGAAATTCCTGATTTGATTACACAATACATGCACGTATGTCAGCATATTTTGTGATTGGTCAGCCAAAATTTATGAAATAATTAACTCAATGTGGGAATCAGCAGTGACTAATATATGTCTCTGTGCATTCCCCCCCCCCACCCCCCCAACACACACACACACACACACACACACACACTTAACTGAGTTGACAAATGCTTCTAACAGTGAACGTATGAACATTGGAATGTTTCTGTGCTATATGACTCTATGACTCCATATCTCTACTTCAGTCACCGTAGCCCTTCATATCCTGCCCTCCCAAACTAGTCTGGAAAATAATCTACCAAAATCAGTTATTAAAAGTTCAACTGTCTCTGAATCCATATCTTTTGTGAGTGAGAATTTTTAGTTTCCACTGTACACTTTGTGTGAAAACATGCTTCATTGATGTCCATCATACATGGTCTCTATCAAAGGTTAACACCATTTCCCTTCCTCTGCATTAAGTCATCGGAGGAAATAGTTTCTGTGAATCAGTTGCTGTGAATTCATTGAATCCAT